CACATGTGCATGAGCACAACACACCCCTCTGCAAATGCAACACACCCACTGTGCATGCAGGGGGCGGAGATCCATCTCCATGGCCCAGTTCCAGGAAGCCCATGGACCGGCACCGGGCCGTGGACTTGGGGGGTTGGGGACCCCTGTTCTAAAGGGTAAGATTATTAACTTTAAGCATTTTTCACATTCTGGTACCTTGTTTTTGTGCAACAAATTATTATTTTGTACAACATAGAAATTCCTTACACATACTAATTTAAGTTTGCCAGTCCTGTTGTTGATAAAAATTATTGGTCCTTTTACTACTGTATAGCAGCAAAAAAAAAAAAAACTCACAGTTTACCATGTGTTCAGTGGGGTATCTTGAGGTATTCCTGAGCTATCAAACATACTTTTTCTTGGTGGAGGGGAAAATCAATGAGTTTTTATTACATCTTTTTATAGAACACATAAAACATTTGTTTTACAGAGAGGATCAACTGCAAAAGAAGAGCAGTGGAGTATTAAAAAATTATATGTATCATTTTTATCATAGTGCTACCTCATTGGGTAAATTGTGACCTGCACTAGTTTTTACCAGTCATTAGGACATCATGACATAGATACTTCTCCCTCTGTTCCACTATATCTGTTTTGTTTCTACTGTAGTTCTGAATTGTTCCTTAGATACCAAGATTTAGAATGATATAATTACTTAAGATGTGTGGCTCTCTAGACATTACTGGATTACAGGTCACATTAGTCCTGTCTTTCATATCTAGTGGTGAGGGATGATTGGAGATGTAGTCAAGCAGTGATAGGAAGGATGCCAAATATGTGTCTTTCCCTACCATCCTTTAAAGTTATTTTCCACATTAAAATGTCTTTGCATAACATCGGCCCAGCACATTGTTTTCATTTTCATAACTGCATATTGTTTTCTCTTTTCATAACAGTGGTCTTGGCTGCCAGATGGGCAGTATATAAATCAAATAAATAAACAAATACATAAATAAAACAAAAGTTATTGGATAACTACTACTACATTGTATTCAGAACACCTAGTAGAAAAAGAAACCTTGTCTCCTTCCAATCATAGTGATCTCTAAGAAACATTCAGAATGGTAGCTGTGTTAGTCTTTAGTTGCAGCAAAACTGACAGGTAGTCCTGCAGTACAGTGCTGCCTCCACTTACGAACGTACCTACTTATGACCATTTCGAGTTACAACCAGCTCCGGCTGCAAAATTTTGCTTCTACTGTACTTCTGACCGGAGCTTCCACTTACAAACAGAAAAGGGCAGGGGGGAAAGGCGGGAAATTCAAATTGCTAACTGTAGGTGGCAAAAAAGGCTGCTTCTTTGTAGCTCTTTTGCCCTGACGGTTAGAGTGAGTGCGATCGAAGAGGGACTGCCTGGCTTCTGTTTCTCAGTGAGCATGTGTGTGTTTTCAGGGAGGCTTGGGACTGCCTGTTAGGTAAGGTAAGTTGCTGTTTTCTGCTTTTTAAAACTGTTCTGGGTGTTTTTGCAGCATGGTTTTAGACTGGAGGAGGTTATGTTTCTGTGCTGTGATGGGTCTTGGGGGGGTTGTTTGTTAGGTTTCCCCCCCCCATTTCCGATGGGTCTTGGGGGTTTGTTTGTTAGGTTCCCCCCCATTTCCGATGAGTCTTGGGTTTGGTTGCTTTTGGGGTTTTCCCCCATTTCTGAAGAGTCCTGCATGCTTCCCTGCTTTTTCCTTTGCATTTCTGACCTTGTCCCTCTGTTCTCTGTGCATTTCCAATCTGCTCCATTTGTTTTCTGTGCATTTGCAATGGGTCCTGCATGCTTCCCTTGCTTTTTCCTTTGTTTTCTTTGCATTTCCGACCTTTTCCCTCTGTTGTCTGTGCATTTCCAATCTGGTCCATTTCTTTTATGAGCATTTGCAATGGGACTTGCACACTTGATTGCTTTTCTCCCCCCCCCCCTTCGGCTGGAAGGGATTAAGCACGTTTCCAATGAGTCTTGTAGTGAATTTTTTTGGGGGGGGATGATATTTTTTTCCTTGGCTGGAATGGATTAATTGCATTTCAATGCATTCCTGTGGGAAATGGTCCTTTGACTTATGATCATTTCGACTTGCGTCCATCTTCTGGAACGGATTATAGTTGTAAGTCGAGGCACCACTGTATTTTAAAGGCTAACATGTTTTATTTGGCATAAGCTTTTGCGGACTGCCCATTTCTCTGCATCTGAAAAAGTAGGCTGCAGTTCACAAGGATTTCTGCTAAATAAACCCTGTTAGTTTGAAGGTACTGTAAAACAGTTGTGGGTTTTGCTGAAACCGACTTCATACTAGCGGCCAAGTGTTCAAAGTCTCTTCATATTTCTATTGGTTCCAGTCTTTTGTTTGTGTGCTCACTCTCTCTCATTTTAGTCATATTCACTTCTCTACATGCTTGGTTTCAGAACTCTTGATAAGCTTTTCTATGTTATACCAATAACAGAAATATGTTTTTAGTTTCTCTAGTTTTTCCTATTTTTCTCCATTTACAATATGTAAACAGAAAACTCTTTTTTCATATTAAACTTTTACATTCACCCTATGTTTCCATTTGTTAACTATGTAGTATGTATATTTATTTTATTCTCGTCTTCTTTTATTAGCGGTCATCTTAATGATTGTGAAAGGCCCCTCACCCCAAAAGATAAAGGATAAAACCCAACTTTATATCATCATTTGCTCTTTGTGATCAGATTTTAATTACTTGCATTATCATTTTATTAATATTATTTCCTCTCTTATAAAAATTATTCATCTTATTTCACTTCCACTGGGCTTGCCCAGATGGTATATAACCCACACAACACTAACAAAAAAAGGGCAGGCTACTCTGATAATGCCATATGCAAGTGCTGTTTAACATTCCTGTCTGGATCAAGGCATCTTGCTTTCCCCCCATTTTTATAGCTGGCCCTAGTTAAAAATAGCATTTTGATGTTTGGTGTTCCAAAATGCCTGTCCACTACAGGAATGGATAGAGGAGAGAAGCCTTCCAAAAGGTGGCAGAAGAACATAGTATCAACAGTTGTTGCCTTATCCCTCACCAGTCTCTTTCTCAACTATCCAGATTCATTTTTCATTTTCTTCAGCCATTTCAAGCATTCCCAAACTGAACACTGATTTTTGTGCTCTCTTAATAAGTGCAAATTTGAATATTCTGGATACTGTAATAGTGCTTAAATCCTCTTAAGCTTAAATACAATTAACATATAGCAGAATATCATTAAGATGGCTATAGACATACAAAAAGAGAGTAAGCCACATCAGCCCTTGTTGATCAGGCATTTGAATTATTTTTAAAACAGTTTAAAATCTTGTTCCCAAACACCCAATAAAACCCTGAAACATACAAAAAATAGACTAGGTAGACAGGGATCCAGGAATATAGTTTAATTCCAGTTAACAGTATTGTTTAACTCACTTCTCTCAGTAAAAACAGTACAGTGAGGTCTTGACTTGAGAACTTAATCCGTATTGGAAGGCGGTTCTCAAGTCAAAAAGTCTGTAGGTCAAGTCTCCATTGACCTACAGTGCATTGAAAACCGATTAATCCCGTAACAGGCCGTTTTTGTTCCATTTTAGTTTTTTTCTGGTCTGTAAGTCAATTCTCAGGCTGGAAGTCAAACCTAAACTTTGCGGCCAGAGAAGTCTGTAACTCAAAAAGTCTGTAAGTCAAGCCGTCTGTAAATCAAGGGTCCACTGTATAAGAGTTTATGTAGCACTGAAAATGTATTCGTAAAGTTTCAGTAAACAATGACTTGTTTTTAATTATATCTCAGTTTTCTGTCTTCTCTTTAAAGAAGGGTTTGTTTGTGACCATGGTTAATTAAAAAATATACTCCTAAATATTCCTTGATAAGTAGGTTAAATGTTTGGACTGATCTGGAGAATTCAAGATTTTACTATGTATTTTGTTTGTTTGTTTAATTTTTTTTACCTCACCCATCTGGGTTGATCACACAGATAAACACATAAAAACAATCAGACAAATATAATTTAAAAAGAAATAAAACCCCAACCCCCAAAAGACACCCCAAGGACAACAGCAATTTTAAAAAAAGATAAACATAATAGCCAGTCATGCACAGGAAGTCTACAGAAAAGCTTGTCTGAAGAGATGGGGTTTGAATGACCTTCAGATTGCTAGGAAGGAAGAGGCCTGGCCTACCTCCAGTAGCAACGCATTACATAATGTGGCAGCCACCACAGAGAAGGCCCATTTCCTACACATAGATTTTCAAGCCTCTCTCAGGGTGGCAGCCCACAGCATCATCACTTGAGTGGAGCATGTGAAACAGGCAGACGATCTCAGGGAGAGGCACTTTGGCAAGTACTGAGGTCCCAAACCAAAATGTCTGAAGTAGGGATACAAAAACATCTAATATTGCTCATCCTGTGTTGAATTGTACTAAAATGGGATAAACAGGTAAACTTTAAACTTAATGTTGACAGGTAAATTTGTAATAAAACATGGAACCTTATAGAAGTCCTGATTATGTCATCTACTTTATTGTATATTCTCCTGCCATTTCAAATTAAAAAACACATGTCCACCGTTGATGAAATAACATTTTAAAGATTATGATAGTGAGAATGTTACAGAAATATTTAAGGTAAAGAGTCGTTTTTCGACTTCATTTTGGTAGCCTTTGCAACAATCTTGTGATAGACAGAGTGATTATCCATCTAGCATCCAGGCTACTCTTTAAAAATCTAGAACTAAGGTATTTTCAACATATTTACTCAGACCCCTAAGCTAAGTACAATTTAGAGTATTAGAATTCTGATTAAAGCCCAGCATTATTGTTTAGAACAAGTATTCAGCTTTGTTTACTGTGTTGTGTTTAAAGTAGTCATGTTGTCTTTTTTAATATATTAACAGCAGGAAATCAATTTGCTATCACCAACTGGTTTTCCCTGTTTGTTTTTCCACCTCATGTGTTGCTTCATTTATTTATGGAGCTTTCATTGCTTTGGTTTCAGGTGCGAATGTCTCTCTGGTTTATGTGGTGTTCCAAAATGCGAGGCAGGCTACATCCCCCAAATAGTATCACGTGGAGACAGAACACCTGGCAAGTGCTGTGATGTCTTTGAATGTGTCAATGGTATGTTTTGTTCACAGTATACTTGGACTAAGTATTTTGAGGTTTTGATAAATGGATAGTATTAAAGTGTTATCCAGTGTGAAGCATAATAAAAATAGAAATTATCCATATACTTATGCAGAACTAGTTTCCAAACAAATCTTTAATGTGAGTAGATCTTCTATTTATACATTAAACATGAATGCCAGCATTAAAATTCATTTACCATATGCAGGCCAAAATCTGTTGTGCCACACATGCATGCAACTCTAAGTAGTTGCACTATGACTCAGTTGGAAATCCTGTCCATGTAGCACTTCCACTGGTATGTTGTGCAGTTGATCACATTGGGGACACATTGTGCAGTGGCATGGTGCAATTCTTAGTTGCCAAACATGATGCCTTATGCCAGTATATGCTGGTGTGAACAGGCCATGGAAGTTCTGCCCCTTACATATTCTATTTTTAATTTTTCCACTAAGAGGGCAAGAATTATGGCTTCTCCTGCCCCACCACTTTCTACCTAGCAAGATTATGACCTTCTTCTCAGCTTAAGCATTCCTCTTTTTATTCATTGGAATATCTTGCATTTAATAACTTTTGTGATCATCAGCTGCCTAGCTGTGCTGCTGACCTGGCTTGTGAGAATGTGACCAGGATCTGTAAGTGTAATTTATAGTTATTAAAGTATATGAATAACTTCTAGAAAATTCAGATATTTAAAAAAGTTGATTGTCATCCCAGGAGGTACCATTTGATTTCGATTCTGAACTGGGTCGATGAACTAATTCCCTCAGTTGTTTTAAGAAGCTTATTACAGGAATTTATTGTTCAAATTCAGCAGTTACTCTATGAATTATGCCATGTCGTAAATTATTGAGGTGATTGCCATTAATTAAAAATTAACTACATCTTTGTTATTGTTTTCCTCCCAAGAAGGAGGAATTTTGTGGCTGCTGTCACCATCTGTAGTGATCATAGAGCCCAAGAAAGTAAAATCCATCATTGCCTCCATATCTTCCCCTTCTATTTGCCAGGAGGTGATGGGACCAGTGGCCATGATCGTAGGGTTTTTTTTTTATGTTGAGCTTCAGACTATTTTTTACGCTCTCCTCATTCACCCTCATTAAGAGGTTCTTTAATTCCTCCTCACTTTCTGCCATCAAAGTGATATCATCTGCATATCTTTGGTAGGTTACTAGGTTATTATTAAGAGCCATCAAGTCACTTGTGACTTAATAATAATTGTGTACTCCTAAGTCTGATTTACAGTGACTCTTTTCATTTGTCTAGGTAGAGAGTACTGAGAAGTGGTTTGCCAATCCCTTCTTTAAGGGGCATCCTGGGATTTTGCCAAGGCCCATAGGCTGACTTTTCCAGGATTCACAGTGGGGCTCCAAAGCTATCCATTCAGCCACTCCTGATTTACAGTGACCATAACAGAGTTGTGGTGGTGTGTGAGGCATTTAAGGGGTAGTTTACTATTGCCATACACACATAAGTATCCATAGTTGAATAGAGATTTGAACCCAGATCTCCTAAGTCCTAGTCCAGCACAATGTCTGCTACACCACAATTGCTTTCACATAGGTTACCGTATTTTTCCATGTATATGACCCCCAATGTATAAAACGACCCCCTAATTTTGATCCTTGATGGAGGTGGAGGAGAAGTTAATGGGCAACTGCTCCTCCATCTCCTGCTGCTGCTGTCTCTGCTGCCCATCCGATTACCTCCTCCAGTGCAACTGCCAGAGCCCACCTCCAGCTCACGTCGCTGCCTTGTCCCCTGCCCTAAGGAGATCACTGGAGGAGGTGATCTGGCGACGGCAGCAGGAAGAGGCGCCCGAGTGCATGCAAGTGCTTGTTTGCCTCCGCCTCTGCCTCCTGCTGTCTCCACCACCGGAGGTGACTTGAGCTGAGCCCGTCAGTCCCACTGGAGGTGGTGATTGGGCAGGCTGGGGAGGCAGCACTAAGAGGCGCCCAAGCACGTGTGAATGCTCCTTCGCCTCCATCTCTGCCTGCTGCTACTGGTGCTGCTGCTACCTCGGCCACCAGAGGGGACAAGTCGTGAGCTCTGGAAGAGGCAGTTAGGCAGCGGCAGCAGCAAGAGGCATCCAAGTGTGTGTGTGTGTGACTGCTTTCTTCCGTGTATAAAACAACACTCATTTTTTTTCTCTGATTATTTTAGGGAAAGTGTCATTTTATACACAGAAAATTATGGCATATAGTTATTTCAAAAATACATCTCTTCTTATTCTCTACACTTAATGTAAATAATGGAAAGTTTTTATGAAGAAATAACTTTCACAATATATCAGTAATACAGTGGTGCTCCGCATAGCGACAATAATCCGTGCAGCAAAAATCGCCGCAAAGCGATTTCATCGCTATGCGGTTTTAAAAAGCCAATAGGAATGCATTGAAACCCCTTCAATACGTTCCTATGGGCTTAAAACTCACCTTAAAACGAAAATCCTTCATGCGACCGCCATTTTCGCTGCCTGGTAAGCGAGGAATCCGGGCGAAAACACAGCGGGCAGCCATTTTTCCCCCAGCGGCCATTTTGGAACCGCCGATCAGCTGTTGGAAAATCATCGCTGCGCGATGATCGGTATGCGAAACAGGGTGCCGATCATCGCAAAGCGATTTTTTCCTATCTATCTAAACCATCGCAATGCGATCGCGAAAGCAATTGCAAAAAAAGTCGCTATGCGGATTCGTCGTTAAGCGGGGCACCCATTAAGCGAGGCACCACTGTAGTTTTATTTGTGGGAAGTGTCCAGAAAATTAATCAGAGAGGCCTGAAAGCAGTCTATCTTTAATCTATACATATCTCAACATGTAATAGGATATAGCGAATTTTAGTAGTACATCATGGGTGTATTCCAGATTTGCCTCTATATATTCACCAGCTAAGTAAGTGTTTTCCAGGAAAAACAGTGAAAACTTCCAGGAAAGGAAAGATGTTGACATAATTCATATAGAATACAGGAAATGTATGACATCTTTATCGGTCACACATTTTGTGAACACCAGTGTTGTTTAAATGGATTCATTATATGTACTGTCATATTGACAAGTAATATTAGAACATCTGTGATTGATGATTCAACATGAGCTGGATTATAGTTTGTGATATGACAAAGTAGCTGGGCCATATGTTAATAGTATTTCGTGAGGGAGTCATGGCAGCAAAAACAACAGTATTGTGGCACCTTAAAGACTAACATGTTCCATTATGGAATATGACTTTGTTTATTACAGCTCAATTCATCATCTGCATAATGCAATATGTCTATCTTTAATGTGTCAGAAGACTCTTAGTTGTTCTATTAAAAGCTATTTAATTTTTTGAATAAATTTCAACAATGTGATATTGGCTACTGCAAGAGTAGTTTAATTAGGTCTGTAATTTGATTTCTAGGTAACAACAGTGACATCAGAATTATCTTGTGTAATGCAAATGTTAGGGTCAAAGAAACAATCCAGTGCTGTTAAATTTATAAACTGCTTAAAAAATCATTAATCCTTTATATCTTGAGCTTTACAAATGAGGGAAGTTATTTTACACATAGATAAATAAAATTAATTAGGCAAAAGTCATGGTTTTAAAATAAAATAATCTGCAACAGTCAGTGAACAAAACAATTGGGGTTATTAAATATCTGAATCAGAAATAATGAATTATTTGAAGTACTGTGACACAGGCCTCCTGATGGTAGTCTTGGAAGATAAAAGTTCACCTATAAAATAGATTTTAGAAATATTCGGCAATATGCTATTGTGTAACTTGGCAGTGGCATAAATCCGATTGGGGCATTGGTAATAATTAATTGAAATTAATTTAACACCTCCTGCTTTTGATATTTAAAGTTTCTCCCCCCCCCTTTTGCCAAAACTCCCAGATGTTTTCCCAGGGCAAAAGGGACCCCCGGGGAGTGTGAAACGGGAGTATAAACAGCTTTAAATTATTTTAATTAATTGTTGCTATCACCCTTATCCAGTTTATGTCAGCACAAAGTAATGCAATTGGATTTTGTCCCGTATCACAAGCCACCAAGTTTTAAATAGGTCCCCTTATCTTTCTTTTCAGCATTTGACGCCATATATTTTTATTCATTTTGATTGTAAAATCATCTGGAGAAGCATTATTTTAATTAATTATGGCAGAGCAAGTAAAACATAAGTATGATTTTTCAAAGCTCTGGACCTAACAGTAATTTTGCCCCCATAAACATTAAATTAAACTAATGAATGTACTTTATTATTTATTTATTTATTGACATTTTTGTGTTATACGCTGTTGTTAAATGAGTGAATGTTAGCCTAAAAAGGGTGTTAAAAATTACAGTTCTAAAATAAATATAAAGAAACATATAGTGTCTACTATGTTCTAGCACTATGTATAAAGTTGTATATAGTGCAATTCCAGAATTAAGTCTCACTGTTTTAAGTAGATCGTAATTCTTGATTAATGTGCTTTAAGCACCGTAATTTACACTATAACCGGTATCATTTAACACTCTACTTGTATTCTCAAAGGCTTTCACGGCCAAGATCCAGTGGTTCTTCTAGTTTTGGGGGGCTGTTTGACCATATTCCGAAGGTTTTTCTTCCTAAGGTTTCACCAATCTCTGTGGCTGGCATCTTCAGAAGACAGGAGTCAGAACTCTGTCTGTGTTCTGGTGTAGTGTGTGGGGTAGCTGAGAATTTGTAGCTGCAGGATCAGCTTTTTGTCCTGTTCAGGAGACTGGGTGATTATGGTGATCAGGGTGTTTTTTGTTATGGGTGTATTGTTGTGATAAAGGGGGGAGATGGTCTGTCACTGTGATTGATGAGTGTTGTTGGCTAGTCTTTTGTGTGCAATGATCACCGGTCCTTGTGACTCTGTAGAGTTTGGTGATCTTTTTGCAGGCTGTATTTTTCAGTGCTGGGAGCCAGGCTTCATTGAGTTTTAGACTTTCTTTTTTGTTGAAGCTGTGCTGATGTTTGTGGATTTCAGTGGCTTCCCTGTGTAGT